ATCAAACATCATCTACAAAATAAATTGTGTCAACTGCGACAAACACTACATCGGACAAAGCGGACGCCCCCTTCACCTGCACCTACATGAACATCAATTAGCAGTCAAACGGCATGATATCTCCTCACTTATATCAATACACGTGGACAATTGCGGACACACATTCGGTTGGAAAAATGTGGAAATCTTGGACAGAGGAAATTCTAAAAACACAAAAGAATTTTTAGAAGCCTGGTACTCAGGTCAATCAGCAATCAACAAACATATTGAAATCGATCCGATTTATCATCTAATCAGGAAAATTATGCAAAAATATAGGAACAAGAATCAAACCAATAGTAGACAAAACCAAAACAAAAAAGTAAACAATGACAAATTTAAGGTCAATAAGAACCAATCAACATCGAGGTGTACAGAACAAGCTGTGAAACACATATATATGAATTCGAACACTTCTATCTGAAGTTTGTGCTGATGTCGTTCAGAAGAACGATGAAAGCTCCACGACCAAACCATCCAGCTCAGAGAACAAAACTCCATCAAAATCATCCACCTGAGCTACAAATCTTCTTCACCATCTCAACATGAATATCAAATGATAAACTTAAAGGCATCGGCAAATAATGAGTGATATTGTAAAGCGAACCAGCTTGATCAATGCAACGAACCCACATCTGCATACATACACACATCAGTTCTAATGATAAAATCAAAAGTAAATGAATTCTTGATTAATAAAATTATTATTGCATAAAAACATTCAATAACAAACGTGCATAAATAAATAAAGGGCATCACAACTGATAATCTCAACAAAAAACATACTATGTTCTGAGGAATGCATCTAAAAAAATCCGGAAATTAAATAAATTTCTTTTTGAAAGTAGTGACATTATCTCTGAATAAATAAAGTTTGAATAAACAGGCATAAATATATAAAGTTAAGCTAGGACCAGAATAGACACACAAAACAAAAAGGCATAAATAAGAATCCAGAAAATATCAAAATAATATTTAACCGACTTTTTTTTCAAATAAAGAATATCAGCTGCACCTTAAGGAGGAGGAGGATTACGATTAGAAAGGTCATGAAGAATTGAACAAGAAAAATTTCCCAAAAGAAGCGCCATATATCTGCTAGATCTATAAAAAATATATTTAAGTATCCAAATCTTCAGGATATGTAGTCTAAAAATAAAATTCGGTGACTAGTGATCAGTAATATTTAAACGAAGAAAAAATGCGTATATATATGTTTGTAAATTTTAATTTTATTATATACTGGGATTATTGTACACTTTATTACTGGGATGCAAATCAAATTTAGGAAATATTCTAGATATTCCAAACCTTCCAGGACTAAATTATTTGATACGTCTAATAGTGTCAACTAAAACACAAATGACAAAAAAAACTGCATCTGTTTTGATGAGTTTGCTTTGAATACAATAAAATTAACGGCAGTAAAAAGGTGAGTCTAATTATCCAGAATGTGGTAATCCGGGAATTTTCTGGAGATCTTATACGGGATATTTAGTTTGAGACAAATAATTTTTCAAAGCACGACAGATAATACCTATTTGAGTAAGGCTAAAACCACAACTGAGGCAGAATAATTTGAATGCATTTTATTTTGTGCTTTATCTACAACTGCTTACAACCGTATTCGTATTAAAATATAACATTGGGATATGATATACTATAATGTGTAATAATACCTACTTTCAACTGAATCACAACAGAATAACAGTAGCAGCAATGACAGTTAAAACAGACGTTTAAATATTTTGATTCATTTAGCAAGTATAAATTTATGCATTCAGTTTTTAGCCATCATGTGCTGCTACCCGGCTATTCTAACTGAAGTACGTGGAGTATGGTTTAATAGCTTACAAATGTTAAAATGCTAATATTTTAACCTCTTTAATCACAAAACGATATGACAATATGAATGATCAGTGGATAAATACTTAGAAAATGGAGCTAACAATTAAAAGGAAAACGAACTAGTTAATTCCATTAAACTTTCTTAAACTAAAACATTGATTTTGATCAGAATAAAGTACAGCATTCGAAAAATGTGACTAACCTAATAAAAATTTTGGAATGCTATTAATAATAGTCACCTGATCCGATTCACTTTCTTATCAGAAATAGAAAGAAACAAATTACTGAGTGTATGATATGGACTCACTGAAATATTTAGGTGACAACAAAAGAGCAGTATTGGTAAAGTGGCACAAAACTAATGGGTTTGATAATAAACGGTATTTCTGTGATTTACATCTTGATACGTAGTAACATTCGATACAGAATATTTTGATAAAATAACTAGTTACAGTTGTTAATTGAAAGAATTACAATGCTGCTTTGAAGGAAATTTCACAAAAAGTTACATTTTCAACATTAAGTTGTCAAAAAAATAAACACAGCATTGAAATATCTATACAATACAATACAAAAAACCGTCAAGTATATGTTTTCCTGAATCATTTATGTGTTTAAGGAATAAATACAACAAAAATGTAATAAATATTCAGGAAGAGAGAATTCTTTATTTATTTATTTATTTTAACACATAAGTATAGGTACAGAGAGGCACCAAGTACATATGCGCCACACGAATCTCAATTGATTTGTGTGAGGGCTGTGATACTGCCCGGGTGATCAAACCGAAGCAGGTGGTTTTCTTAGGGGGCCAAACCCCGAGCCTTCGACCTGAACGTCTAACCCACAAGGCAGTGGAGCATCGTGAGGAGATGCAGTCCCATGGTAGCCGGTGACCAACGATTGGTTCATACGCCATTCGATCCTTCAGGATACTGGAGCCCATGTGCACCATTGGTTTGGGGTCCGGTTAAAGTGCCGGACATTCGCTTTTCGTCCTCTCATTTTCGTAAACAACACCCCCGCCACGAGAAGGCAGTGAGTAGGACTTCCCTGGCAGAGGCTATATACGCATGGCCATGTGAGAGCATTTCGAGAGGGAAAGCGGATCTCCCCACTCTCGGCCGTACCAGGGCATTTGGGGGCTGATAGAATTCTAGGTGTGAACGTGTATAAAAACGTTAACATCGAGTGTCCTATCATAAGAAAAAGTGAATAGTTGGTCGCGTCTGTCATATAATTAATTAACAGTTCTTAAAAGTAAAAAGAGTCCATAACAAAGTTTATTCTTAACATTCATCCTTAAACGTAACTGTTAACTGATACAGTTGACCGCTTCAAATTGCTATTAGCTAGTTTTCTCAAAAAAGTCTTGGTAGCCTTGGTAGAAATAAGCCTGTCTACATCACCTTACCATTCCAGAGGTGATTCAAATAACCTTTTATTGAAACAAAGGCTTAAATCAGTCATCAACAAAACGTATTGCGCAGCAAAGGTCATTATCAAAGAAAGAACAAGGTGCATGCTTCATCCAAAACCTAAAAGACATGAAAACGATTGTCACATCCCACTGTGTTTACCAATTTAAACGTATGTGTGGTCACAGATACATAGGGTGGAGCAATCGTGATCTCAAAATTAAAGTGCGTGAACATGTACCAAAATGGTTGCAGAAACAAATACAATCAAGTGACCCAATAAGAGCAGAGGATAAACATCTATCATCCTCTGTTGCCAAACATAATTGAAACAGCTCACAAGATTTATACGAATATTCGTCAAAATTAGAACGAATAGTTTGACAGAAATTGGGCGCCGAGTATAGAGAAGTCATTATATTTGAAATAATTTCAGCGATTGAAATTTAAATAATTCCATCGTTTCGTCCAGCTAACTTATCTGGACTTCATCGAAGTTTTTGATGATTTTGATTATTACCCTGAAGACGTCCAGACGAGTTAGCTGGACGAAACGTTGGAATTATTTAAATTTCAATCGCTGAGATTATTTCAAATATGATTTCCACATATAAGGCCATAAGATTGATCTTAACTAGGCTTTTGTGGTATTGTATAAAAGTGTAAAACGGTGTATACTAAGGGTTATTGAAGCCTTAGCCATACGAAAATTCAAACCCTCTTGGTGTATTCAAAAACAGTTTGTTCTCACTTTAAACCTACCCTGGTCACATTGACTTATTATCCCGAGTGATTAGGTTTCAAATTGTGTTCACATTATTACTCTTATTATTTGTCTTGTCTCCCCTTACCCCATTTCAAGTCTAGTTGACCTTTTATTTTTTATATATAAATGCTCTTAACAAGTATATGTGTGATCAGATTGTTTGAAATGTACTGCGCTAATACGTCACATAGTTCTGATAATCTTCGTCTTCTTATTACATTAGCAAAATAAGAGTTATGATAAGATGAAGTACAGCAGTAAACAACATACTACGCATAAGTTCTTATTTGAATAGATACCTAAAGTTTCCATTAACCAAACTTTCTTATCTTAGGCAAGTTATATCGAGATGTAAACATTGTGTCAGTCTGTAACAAGTATGATCAAATAACCATTCAATTTACGGGTGAATATGTCGTCTTCCATAAACATAACTAGATGACCAAATTGAACGAGTGTTAATTTTTAGACTTTGGTTGGTATATCTCAGAATCGCTTATCATAGTGCAGATGCATTTATTCTTTATCCTCCTCTAGATCTTGAATCCCATTACCCTTTCATGAATACGTTTTCGCTCAGACTTCCCAAACTTACAATATTTGTTTTTATTTATTTATCATTGCTATTACATTATTCGGACTTGTCTTTTGTTTTCATTTTTTCGTGCTAATAAGATTTGGAAAATCGGGCCAACGTACATCTATGCCAGGCTTTATGTTGGCAATGTCTGTCTGCTTACTTTAAATAAAACTGAACGGTTAATCCATATGCTCATAAGTAAACAATCCGAAGTGCAATTACTATTGATAATTACAAAATGTAACAATAACTCTTTAAGAAAAAATTTCAGACGATTTTGGAAGCAATGATTCAAGAATTCAAAAATATACTTACAGTTCTGAAGCGATAAAACATTGATTTACAGTTATTAGGTAGCGCATAGAATTTCTGATTTTTCAAAGTGAAGCTGTGCAAGGCTCTAAAATTCATTTTCGAAAAGCAAACGAAAATATGTGCAATTGGTTTCAGTTTTTACGGAAAATAAAACAGTTTAAAAGTTCAAGGTTTGTCGGCGGTACATATCTTTTCTACCCTGTAAAATACTGTTTTAACCAATGCCTACTTGTAACTAATTGGACAAAAACTATTGAAATTTAGGTAGAGGCCATTCCAATTACTTTTTCTATAAACTGAATGTTGGACTGTCCCGTCTCTCCTACGTTTTATGGTATCTTGAAAACACGGTACTTAAACAGTAGTAGTGAAACGACGGAATAATCCAGATATGTGGACGACATATTTATTGTCTGTAACAATAAACAGCATGCAATACACCTGCTAAAACTCTTCAATAACGCCCATCCTAACATACATTTTACTATGGAGCACGAACAGAACGACATGTTCCACTAACTAACAGTGAGGCGCATAGAAACCACAATTCCCACATCCCCAATAAAACATTTAATTCTTAAATGCACAATAAATGTCAAAATTCAGATTTGACACCGAATATTATAGATAACTAGAAGGAGTTGCCATGAAGTCACCATTGGACCCTCTATTGGCGGATATTTTCCTTGCAAAACTGGAGAATGGACCACTTTAAAGCACTATTAGCCATTTACCGACTTATTATCGCTATGTGGATGATACTCTCGTAGTATCAGAAAAAGGACAATTTACTTAATATATTTAATAATGTTAAGTCGGCTTTCCGAAAACTGAAACAAAGCATCCGGAGGCCCTGAAGGAGCCAAAGAGTCTTAGCCAATCAGAGCACGATGGAGCTTTCTAGAATGCCGACGTGGCGCGCTACTATTGGTCAGTAGCATAATATGTCTTTTAGCGGATTGGCCAAAATATGATGTTGATTTAACAAATGTTAACATCTATAAATACCCATGTTTTTCTGTACAAAAATGAACCTTGGAGTAAAGTACTTTTCGCATACTTTGCGCCTTCTCTCGCTGTATAGTTCTAGCTTGGGGGTTTTCAAGAATAGCTTAGGAATCGAGTATAGCGTTCAAAAATCGCAAGACTTACCAGTGGCGACGGGGATGACTACAATGAATATTTCTTTGGAGCAGCTAGAAGCTTATATGGTGCGTCAAGAAAAGAGGTTTGAACAATCTCGAATCAGAATAATGGAAGCCTTGATGCAGAAATTGTGCCTGTCCCAACAAAACCCTGCTTTGGTGAATCACAAATATCTCATACTGATTCAATCATTAATGCCATACATGAATTTAATTTTCATGGTGCAGCAGGTGTAACTTTTCATTCTTGGTTTAAGAAGTATGAAGATTTATTTTATATTGATCTCTGCAAACTTGATGACGCTTCTAAAGTCAGAATACTTTTAAGAAAACTTGGGACTATGGAACATGAACGCTATTGCAACTTCATTCTTCCGAAGAATCCACGAGACTTTAGTTTTGATGAAGCAGTTACAACCCTGCCTCAAATCTTTGGAGAACAATCAACTCTAAAGAATGCCGATGACATAGTTCTATTTAGTGAAGACGCTGACAAAATGCAGAGTCTGTTGACCACTCTAAGCAACAATGCAAGCATGTTCGGCATGCGATTCTCTCCCTCGAAATGCAAAATTTTGCTTCAGGATTGGGTTGCGTCGACACCGGAACTAGTGATAGGGAGTGAAGTAGTTGAGCGTATCGACCACATCACTTATCTTGGAAGTCTCATCAGCCCTTGTGGTCTGGTGTGTGACGAAATCTCAGGACGGATACAGAAGGCTCGACTAGCTTTTGCCAACTTGCGTCATTTGTGGCGTAGGCGAGATATCCGTCTATCAACCAAAGGACGTGTCTACTGTGCAGCAGTTCGTCCCGTCCTACTTTATGGCTGGGAATCATGGCCAGTAAGGGTAGAGGATATTTGGTTGGAATAAAGCTAGGAGCGGCCAGACCAAAACATGGCACAAATCCATGCAGTCACTGACAAGTGGACTGAGCCATGTTGGTAGGTGAAGGCTACTTGGTTGGGGACCGCGAGATGATAGCAACCGATGGTTAGAGATCTTGAATGACATGGCTAAAAATCGTTTGCAATGCGCAGGTGCATCCACTCTCTGTGTTCTCTCAAACTCCAATCTTCTGAATTCTCCATGTCCTTTATTTTCTTTCCCAATATATTTCAGTGGACTATACTCCCTAAATAACATCATCAAACCCTAATGTTCCCTATCACTACATCTACCACTACGGGATTTGAATCGATAACTGAATCTCTGTGCTAATGTGGTATGGCAACTCGAGCAGATGTACGTACGTACGATGTTCCACGTTGTTACTGACTGACTGATTTGACAACAAATACTGTAGACAACTAGATGGTGTCACCATTGGGCCCTCTACTGCAGACATTTTCCTTGCGAAACTGGAGAATGGACCACTTTAAAGCACTATTAGCCATTTACCAACTTATTATCGTTATGTGGATGATACTCTCGTAGTATCAGAAAAAGGACAATTTACTTAATATATTTAATAACGTTCATTCATCAATTAATTTTACAATAGAGGAAGAACAGAACTATAGCATATAGTTTCTAGATGACCAACTGACTAGACGAGCAGATGGAACTTTAAAAAGAGGGCTACACAGAAAGTCTGCAACAGGACAATACACCCATATTGCCTGAATTCGCCAAATCTATGTGTATTTATCTATTCAACTGCTCCTGTGGAGCCAGTTATATAGGGCGTATAATTCGGCATGTTCGTCATCGTATAACAGAGCACCAGCCATCGTGGTTAAACAAACGACAGGTTAAAGTGATTAAAAGTTATATTCTCGCTCACTTGGTTGACATAGGTCGTCAAGTTGAACTGAATAAAGCTTTTAAGGTTATCTACCATATTCCACCAAATTTGCCACATGGTTTACAAGTGCGCCTTTTGCACATCGCTGAAGCCATTGCAATCCATGTTCACAAACCTGACCTTCGCATCCAAAAGAAGTTTGTACAACCACTTTCTCTACCTTGGCCATCGGTATAGGGGCGTTTGCAGCAGAACATTGATAAATTATTTTCTTCTATTTTTTTAACTTTGTATTTTGCTTATTCTCAACATTGATCTCTTGATTCTTACATAACTACTATTCTATTGACCATCCATTACAAATTCTGTTCCTTCTCTTTATCATATATTATACAACGTAGCAACTTCTTGGTTTAATAATTACTCTGAATATTTATAAAGGTCTTTCTCCCAATTACTCAATGCTAATTTAAATGTTATTATGTAAATATATATATTAGTGTAGAGCCATGATGAAAAACCAATTGAAAAAAAATTTATTCGCACGGTCCGTTCCTTCTTTATTTACCGAATGTCAAAATGAAAACATAAAAAGTTTTTAAGAACTTACATCAATAAGCTCTTCAAGACCAGTTCTATTGACTGATTTGTTAGAGAGAGAGGGTATTAGTCGATTATCTTCGGTAATTGAGGGAACAAATGGAAATCGACTTTGATTTACATCACAATGACACATGGTAAAGTTGAGGGAATGCAAAGAGTTGTTGCATAGATTTGTTGGTTTGAAAGTTGGAGAATAAAGATTATTTCCCGAAATCGGAATCTGGATTTACACGTACGATAATTTAGTACCAAAAAAGGAAATATTAACACAAATTGTAATAGGCACGGATACGAGTACATTCAAGCTTACAATGTTAGCTGGCAAAAAAACAATATATACTGCACGTTAACAAGAATAAATCACCAATTACTTATAGCAGGAATTCAGTCAGTCAGTCAGTAACAACGTGGAACTTCGTACGTACGTACATCACTTCAAGTTTCCATATCACATTAGCACAGAGATACAATTGTCTATTCAAATCACATGGTGGTAGAAGTAGTAAAAGTATAAGCAGTAATCGGAAAGATCAGGGTTTGAAGATGTTATTCAAGGATTATAGTCCACTGGAATATATTTGGAAAGAAAATAACAGACATGAAGAATACAGAAAATTAGAGTTTGAGAGAACACAGAGAGTGGATGCACCTGCGCATTGCAAACGATTTTTAGCCATGTCATTCAAAGTCTCTAGCCATTGGTTGCTATCATCTCGCGGTCCCCAACCAAGTAGCCTTCACCTACCAACATGGCTCAGTCCACTTGTCAGTGACTGCATGGATTTGTGCCATGTTTTGGTCTGGCCGCCCCTAGCATTCTTTCAACCTATTCCTACACCATAAAACATCGCATGTCGGGGCAGTCGGTGGTCGGGCATGCGCAACACATGTCCCAGCCATCTCAACTGATTAAGTTTCACTACTTCATCAATTGATTTGCCATCCTTACCTAGTACCCGTTTCCTAACAACTGAGTTACTTACTCGGTGGTCCCAGGATATACGAGCAATGTTTCGAAGACACCTATGATCAAATACTAGTAACCTACGAATATTCTCTACTCTTACAGGCCATGTTTCACAGCCATAAAGTAGGACGGAACGAACTGCTGCACAGTAGACACGTCCTTTGGTTGATAGACGGATATCTCGCCTACGCCATAAATGACGCAAGTTGGCAAAAGCTAGTCGAGCCTTCTGTATCCGTACCGAGATTTCGTCACACACCAGACCACAAGGGCTGATGAGACTTCCAAGATAAGTGATGTGGTCGATACGCTCAACTACTTCACTCCCTATCACTAGTTCCGGTGTCGACGCAACCCAATCCTGAAGCAAAATTTTGCATTTCGAGGGAGAGAATCGCATGCCGAACATGCTTGCATTGTTGCTTAGAGTGGTCAACAGACTCTGCATTTTGTCAGCGTCTTCACTAAATAGAACCATGTCATCGGCATACTCTAGGTCAACAAGTGAATCTTCCGGTAGAAGTTCAACTTCTGGGTAATCAGTTCTCATGACAGTTCGCCATAAGCTCCCACTTGACCAAATGTGTTCGAGTAGAGAGCATTCAAGCTTAACGAACCTAGCAGAGCCTTTATATAGTTAATGCACTTCTTTGGTACTCCTTTCAGTGACAAACACTGCCATAGAACCTCACGATCAACCGAGTTAAATGCCGCCTTAAGGTCGAGAAATACTACGATTGTGGGGCGTCTGAATGTGTGTCTATGTTCTAGGACCTGACGTAGTGTGAATACATGGTCTATACAACCACGTGCAGGTCGAAAACCAGCCTGGTTTTCGCTAGTCTGCTCTTCACGAGATTTGGTTAGACGTCGAAGTATTATTGAAGCTAATATTTTAGACACTATATTAGTCAAACTAATTCCTCTGTGATTGTCACAAGAAGACTTTTGTCTCTTCTTTCTTATAGACTGGCACAATCAGTGATTGAGACCAGTCAGATGGGATTACGTCCAGTTCCCAGATTCTACCTAAGACCTCAGTCAATCTCGCTGCTAATACTGGACCACCATCCTTAAAAATCTCAGGGGTAAACCTGTCAGGGCCTGCTGCTCTCCCACGCTTCAGATTTCCTATAGCTTTTTCAACTTCGTAAAGAGTCGGAGGACTTGCATTAACTAGCCATTCATGTCGACTGGAGATCGTGGGAAACCGAAGTGTGGCTGAAGGCCAGTTGAACTGATCCCTAAAGTGTTCTGCCCATCGATCCAATCTCCTGGATTGAGAATGAATAATATGTCCATCTTTCTCTGCGATTGTTTCGCTAGCAGTTGGGTTCCTAATACCGGTTTCCTTAACAAGTCTGAACAGTTGCTTACTGTTACCTATTGCTGCTGCCTTTTCCATCTCTCTTGCATTCGCTACCCACCACTGTTCACAGCGTAGTGTATGATAGTGTAATAATAATAATAATGGGGGAAACGGAAATGTACAACCAGAAGGAATCTTTCAGTTAAGGAAGATACAATCACTTTTTATGAAGAAAGTAAAAGAAGGTTACAGCACGATCGCCACTGGCTTCTATTCTGAGCCATATCTGATAACGTCTCTAGCCACTGCGTTACACCGTCTCTCGGACCCCAACCAGGGAGTCGTGAAGGACCAACAGAAGCTAGCCCTTCGCAGCTTTCTTTCATACCACGACACCATGTCATATACTGACCACCTCTCCGCTTTTTCCAACCAGTCCCAGAGTCGGCAAATAATGCACGATGAGGAATTCTCTGGGACGACATTCGTAGAACATGTCCAAGCCACCGAAGTCGATGTCTCAAGATGGTGACACCAATTTCATTATCGTCTCTGTGACCGAACACTCGATGCCGAACCTCTGCATTACTGACACGGTGTTGCCACTGGATGCCAGCAATCCTTCGGAGACAACGATGATCGAACACAGAGAGTCGTCTAACATCCTCAACTCGGAGAGGCCAGGTTTCACAAGCATAGAGCAAAACTGCTCTCACCGTCGCGTTGTAGATCCGACCTTTTACAGCCAGACTAACATCACGAAGGCGCCAAAGATGGCCCAGATCGGCATAAGCCGCTCTGGCTTTCACTAAACGTGTATTGATCTCATCACGCACACCACCACCAGCACTTATGCAGCTACCTAGATACACGAACTTGTCGACTACTTCTATCTGCTCACCATCCAGAGTGAGTACAGGATTGGAATCCTGCCAGTCTTGTAGAAGAACTTTGCACTTCGAAGGTGCAAAGCACATACCATACCTACGGACATTGATTGCCAACTGATTAAGTGCGGATTGCATAGCTTGGGCATTCTCGCACAGTAAGACAATATCATCCGCATACTCAAGGTCGAGAAGTCTTTCTCCAGGCAACAGATTCACACCACCATTACTTACATCCGTCAGAGCTGTTTCCAGAATGTCATCGATGGCAAAGTTGAAGAGGAATGGTGAGATTGGGCAACCCTGCCTAACCCCACTGCTCGAATGGAATAGTGGAGAAAGGTGATTGTATGCCCTCACTCTGCCTGAGGTGTTTGTGTATAGGGCTTTTAGGATGTTAATAAACTTCTCAGGCACACCCTTCTTCAATAGACAATCCCAGAGAACAGTTCTGTCCAACGAATCGAAGGCAGCCCTGAAATCAAGAAACACTACGATTGTTGGCCTTTGATAAGTATGGCGGTGTTCTAACATTTGGCGGGGGGTGAAGATATGATCAATACATCCTCGACCAGAACGAAACCCAGCCTGCTCCTCGCGAGTCAATCCTTCTCGGGTTTTGAACAACCTACTAAGTATGACGGAAGCCAATAGCTTGGACGCAATCGGAAGTAGACTTATCCGCCTATAGTTGTTACTGGAACGACGTTAACCCTTTTTATTGATAGGGACAACTATCGACTCATTTCATGACGTTGGTACACTCTCTAGTTCCCAGACCTTTGTAAACAACGTCGTCAGTCCCTTAGTCAGAAAGTCACCACCATCTTTAAACAGAGCCGGAGGTAAGTCGTGTGGGCCCTGTGATTTGTAGCGTGTCAAGAGTTGGAGTTCCTTGCAGACTTCCGCTTCATTTGGTGGATCAGTCGTCACCGGCCATGGAGAGCAGGACAGTCTGATCGATGTTGTCGGAATAGCAGACCAGTTGGACTGCCCTTCGAAGAATTCTGCCCATCGTCCAAGAATTCGATGGATGTTAGTGATTGGCATCCCGTCATCCTCGCAGATTGTTTCACTCACACCAGATTTCTTGCTGCCAGTGGCTCGGATGAGTTGGAAGAGCTTCCGGTAATTACCAGATGCAGCTGCTGCTTCCAGCTCATTAGCACGCTCCGACCACCAGGCTTCTCGGTCCTTACGCAAGCTATGCCCAATTTCATTACGTAACACCCTTCGTCTGTGGTCAAACTCACGGTCACCCGGAGTAGACCGACGGGCTTCAATCAGTTGTAAGGAACCAGAAGAAACCCAATGCTTGTAAGAGGGACGTTTCGCAAACCCACAACAGACTGTACCCGCCATTTTCATGGCGTCATGCAATTGCAACCAATGCTCATCTACACTTTTCGGTGCGATGGTAGATAGCCTAGAAGCTAGATCGGTTCGGTACATACTAGCAACAGAAGTTGCAGCCAGCTTGCTAACATCAATCCTTTGGTGGCGGTCACTTCGTTGTCCACTGAAAAGTAAGGTGAGATTGGCGCAGACCAGGGCATGATCAGATTCCAGATAGGTACTCCAAAAGGAGCGGCAGTCTTGTGCACAACCACGCCAGCGGTAGCTAATCGCGATCTGATCAATCTGAGGTCCAGGTTTGAGACTTAGAGGGAGGACGCCAGGTGGCACATCGGCGATGACTATGCCGGAAGTAAGTGCTAGCCAGAAACAGGTTGTGGTCTGTGCATAGTTGCAGTAGACGTTCCCCGTTATCTGTCCTGCGACCAACAAGTCCCCATCGGCCACCTAAACGACTCTCTTCTGTGCCTAGACGCCCGACCTGAGCATTCAAGTCTCCAGCTAGTACTACAATATCTGTCGAACGCACTTTCTGAAAAAGAACAGTTAACTGGTGGTACAATTCATCCTTGATTGCATCCGGGCTGTAATCTGTCGGGGCATAGGCGGAGACGACGAAAAGACATCGTTTCTCACGCCGATTTTTTCTCAACTTGATGGCACTTTCTAATCTAACAGCATATAACCGACTGTTAATAAGGATCCAATCGATTAGTGCTGCCTCAACTCTAGCACTTAGTGCGATACTAGCGCCAGCAAGACCAGACGAAGATGCCACAGGGTCCCCGGATAGACGCACGTAAAACAAACTTTTTGAAGAAACAGATGGAAAACGAATTTTTAGTACTTCACCAGAGTCTTGAATACGGGTCTCGGATAGACAACAAACGTCAATATTAAGACTTTCCAAAGACACAGCCAGCCCTATCTGTTGTCCGACCTGCATAAGTGTGCGAACGTTGAAGGCAGCCAGTTTGAATGGTTCACGTGGTTTCAGAAAAACTGCTTCAGTACTCGTATTCGGTGGTAACATACAATTTTCAACCACGCAATGACTCGAGAACGTTTAGATAGAGCCGAATTTCCACCATAGGCGAGCTGCTGTCTAAGTCGAAACGGAAACATAAAGTGTGAATAAGAGAGATTGAATAAACGACGTGGTAAAATTGTAATAATAATAATAATAATAATAATAATAATAATAATAATAATAATAATAACAATAATAATAGTGCGAGTCATTTCATTGTAAATCGGATCGAAAGGAATATTTTCCCTAAGTAAATAGTTCATCATGTTTTAGTGTGTGAGCTGAGATGCTGCCCGGGTGCCCAGACCGAAGCAGATAGTTTTCTTAGGGGGCCACACCCCGAGCCTTTGACCTAAAGGTTTAACCCACAAGGCAGTGGAGCATCGTGAGAAGATGCAGTCCCATAGAAGCCGGTGACCAAGAAATTGGTTCATACGCCATTTGTTCCCACAGGATACTGGAGCCCGTGTGCACCATTGATTTGGGATCCGGTTATAGCGCCGGATATTCGCTTTTCGTCCTCTCATTTTCGTGAGCAACACCACTGGTGCGAGAAGGCAGTGAGTGGGACTTCCCTGTCAAAGGCTGTATACGCGTGGCCGTGTGAGAGTATTTCGAGAGGGAGAGCGGACTCACCCCACTCTCGGCCATACCAGGGCATTTGGGGGCAATAGAACCCTAAGGGGTTTCCTTGTACCATCTTTCCTACGTCCAGTAAGACGTAGACAAATACGCGCTTGCACCAGAGCATGATCTAAGTCTAAGCATGTGCACCAGAATGAGCGACAGTCTTCTATCGAGCCCCTCCATCGGTGGCTGATAGCGGTGTGATCTATTTGGGTCCAGTGTTGAGACGAATTAGGGGTTCGCTATGTCAAAAGATATTTTTCCTTATGCTTAAACTTAGTGTTTGCAAGATAGAGGCGGTTATCTGAGCATAACTGCAACAGACGGTCGCCATTATCTGTTCTTTGAGCCACGACACCATAAAATCCACCCAGGTGCACAAACGACTATCTACTGGATCCAGTCTAAGAGAGCTAGTTCTGCCCTAGGAATCAATGCTATACCTACGCCAGCGAGGCCACGGGAAGCAGCATCAGGGCTTCCAGATACACGAAGCGTAAATCGAGTTGGTTCGTTACTTTGACACGGTGCGGTTAAATGAATGACACTACTCGGATCCTGTGTGCGCGTTTCGGAGACGCAGCACACATCGATGGAGCGAGATTCTAAAGTTTTAGCTAACGAAGCCTGTTGTCCTATTTGGAACAGTGTTCGGACGCTGAGAGCTCCTACATGTAGTTTGGAGCGTGGTTTCAGGAGACCAGGAATAACATTCCGCGTACTCGAATCGTTTGCACTAGTGGGGCGAGGTGATAAAGGGACGCAAGAAGGGTTACTTATGGAGATAAGAGAGTTATTAGGAGGTGTAGGAAGGATTTGAATGTGACCAACTCGGTCTCGTGTGCTGTTACGGGTATGAGGGCTGATATCACTTCCCGGCTGCCCACACCGTGGAAGGGTATTTCTTGAGGAACCTAAAAAGGAAATCAGATTAGTGTTGGTCTTAACGACCTGGGTGCGTGACCGCAGAGCCCAAGGGACAACTGCTTGAGGCCGGTCGCGCACGGCCTTTTTGTGGGAGGTTTTTAATGTGTTAGCTCCTTTCTTCAAACGGCCTTACCGCCGGAGACGGAAATCCGTGGGGTAAGGTGAGGTGTGACATTTTTAGGGTCAGCCTTTTCTAACCCCTTCCTTCCTTGTGAGAAGGCAGCATCGCTGCAGATGCTGGTTGTCCGAGGGAAACACCTTACTTCTGTCACACCTCTGTACAGTCAGAAGTACGACTTCGCCCTCAGACCTTGAGTTGCTGCTTTTGGTCTTACCGTTCTCCATTCGACCTACCTGGCATGGTAGAACCTGCAGGAACATGTGTTCCAGCCAATATAGCTCGGTTGGGTCATCACGATAGGCAATCGTCACTCCCATACATAAAACAGGACCAAGACAAGTTCCATCGAACTACAGACCTGTAAGCCTCACCAGCGTTGTAGTTAAAATATTGGAAAGAATAGTCAAACGGACAATAATGGAATTTATTGAAACAAATAACTTGTTAAACATAGAACAACATGGTTTCAGAAAGGGTCTATCCTGTACAACAAACCTCCTTATAGCAAGGGAAATTTGGATAAAGGCGCTAGACAACGGAAACTCAGTGGATGTTGTCTACATAGACTTCAGTAAGGCTTTTGACAAGGTGTCAACAAATAGACTGCTATTGAAGTTGGAAAACTTTGGTATTGCTGGACCTCTCTTAAAATGGATTAAGGATTTCCTAGTAGGTCGTAGACAGAAGGTCTTACCGTTCTCCAATTGACCTGCCTGGCATGATAGAACCTACAGGAACATATGTTCCAGCCAATATAGCTCGGTTGGGTCATCACGATAGGCAAGCCCGACCACCACGTCAAGGTAGCAGCTACGGTCGGGATAGCAGGAATTAGGATTATGTAAATAAATCTATGTTGAACTGACAGAGAAGTAAACAATACATTTCAATGTCGATGACTGATAGAATTTTATCCAAGCTTAAAAAAACTATTAGCAAGTTAAATAGGAGATCGATCTATCAGATATAGACTGAATATTAGGAAACTTATGGTGGGTGGTCTTTTAATTCTGGCAATGTAATGATTAAGTGATAGGAGAATTTGGAGCTTTCTAGATTGTTGGTTTATTTTTCAAGGTTATTTGATACTATAAAAGTCAAAGATATTAAAATGGTAAAGGAAAACCTTTCGAATAAATATTATTTACTCATACGGTTCGATATGTTTTTGTTGTGTGCACACCATGAAGAATCGGTAAGTCGTTTGGTTACTAATCCCAAAACAATCCCATAAGGATTTAAATACTTAGCAAAGAAGATCCCAAATAAAGACTGCTAGGAATAACTGTTTTGTTGACTAGACAATATATGACAAAAACAACACTACAACTGGAGGTTGTTTTCTCTGCTATCATAATTCTTGTCATTTAGATAGGACATATCTGGAATCTGAATTTTCTATACAAAACAACAGGTGACGTAAAAATAATTAGTTGACGTGAGGTAAAGCTTACAAAGTTGCCGAAAATTAATAATTGAAATATTGCAATGATAACATTATGCTGAGAAATAGAAAGTTACTCTAGTAAAAAATAAAAAATTTCAGTCACTAACCTCGATTAATAAACGTCTCAGTTTCAAAAGAATAATTCTTGTTGCTTGTAATTCCTCAACCATTTCTTTTTGTTCATTAGCAAATAGGAAACTAGATGGATGCTTTGATTCATGACGCGAAGAATCATTAACAATTTTCTTTGAATTTGATTCCATAAAAGATGGAGAAAGTTTTAGAGGATGATTTGGCCTAAACAGGATTAGTAAGGTCTTAAAACGTATGAATCAAGCAAACGAAATATAGATCTTTTGTAAGATAAATAATACTAAATAAATAAATTATATTTTGGAAATAACATGCAGTTACAATATAGTCATAATATACAATTATTATTACTGAAAAAAAAAAACAGAGGATAACGCTAAACAAGACACGGTAGTAACTTGAAAAATTTGCACCAATTAAAATTAAATAATGACAAGAATTAATATTAAATGATTGCACGACGGAAAAATAACCACCACATACTAAGGACAAAATCAACCCTGCTTTATTATCGGATAATTATAATCAGGGTATGATCTAACACGAATGTTAGTCAGCTGCAATTGCAATACCAAATTAGCATGACGAGATAAAATAGTTCCCGGATTCTATCTAAGATCTCAGTTAATCTAACTGCTAAAACTAAACCACTACCTCGCGGGTTAGTCCATCAGATCGTGCTGCTCTCCCTCGTTTCAGACTGCTCATAGCCTTTCCAATCTCACTAAGAGTTGAAAAACTTACATCAATTTCCTATTCAGGTTGCTTGGAGATAATGGGTAACTGAAGTGTGGCTGAAGGTAGTTGAACACTTTCCAAGAGTGTTCTGGCCATTAGTTCAATCTCCTGGGTTAAGAGTGAATAATACTCACGTCTTTTTCCGAGATAGTCTCACTAACAGCCGAATTTTTAATACATGTTTCATTGATAATTTAGAACAGTTATCTACTGTTTCCTGAGGCCGAAACCTGGAAAACTACGAAAACCATTATCCAGAAGATACAGGTGTTTATTAACAGTTGTCTACGCAAAATACTTCGGATCCGTTGGCCGAACACTATTAGCAACAACCTACTGTGGAAGAGAACAAATCAGATCCCAGTGGAGGGAGAAATCAGGAAGAAGCGCTGGAAGTGGATAGGACACACATGGAGGAAAGCACCAAACTGCGTCACAAGACAATCCCCTATGTGGAATCCTCAAGGCCGAAAGAGGGGAGGAAGACCAAAGAACACATTACGACGGGAAATGGAGATAGACATGAGAAAAATGAACAAGAATTGGATGGAACTAGAAAAGAAGGCCCAGGACAGAGTGGGTTGGAGAATGCTGGTCGGCGGCCTATGCTCCATTAGGAGTAACCGGCGTAAGTAAGTGAGTATCTACTGTTTCCGGGCATCTAAGTGTCCAAAAAACGTTACAAACACCAACCATGTCATCACAAATAATAAACGTACATCGTTATATTTGGAATGGTGTATTGTATTCTGGATTTCATGTTTTCGTTTTGTTTCTTTTAGGTTAACCATAAACATATCAAAGTAGGCTATAGGAGCGATCCTAAAGCCACCCTACCTGTTTGCTTGTACAATTGATTGTTGAACCGGAGATGACTTTCTTTAACCCAAAGCAATAATAATTTTCTCAACTTATTGTATGTCCAAGAAAGTAGTTCAGACTGTTCGCAAATTATATTAACAACCTCTTTTAATAGTATGCGTGTAAATAATGAGCAGACATCAAAAGACATCATGAATTTATCTGGGTTATTCAAATTATCCATTTCATCAGAAAACTGTGGTCTGTCTATTAAACTATGGGCCGCCAATTTCTTAAGAATTGGTTCCAATAATTTAGTTAACGATCGAGCTAACTTATGATATTAGTGAGTCTACCATAGACATTATAGATCTTAACGGGATATTGGATTTGTGTACATAATGGAAACCATTTTGCCTGCAGATTTTTTTAAGTTGAATTATCGATGAGTTCCTTTTTCAAAATTTCCTTAGGTTGTTTATTAACTCTGTCTCCGATCGTTCCGATGACATATTTACTAAATTTGCCAACATGGAATTTTGATGCATCTTTGAGAATTTGGGATATTTTATGCACATAATCTTTTTGATTCATTATTACAATACATGAAGCTCAATTTGGTCTTATTATAACGGTCTTATCATTCTTTTGTAAATTCTTCAATGCCAACATATGTTCCTTCGTCAACATTCTCATATAAACCAGTTTGGATTTAGACCAACCTTTTCTGTCTTGATCTATAAGTTTTAAGTCCGTGACTTGTTGGTACAGCCTTTCAAATTGAATTTCTATATCAACTTGGTTGACATCTTTACTTGGAACATGGCCATTTAAATCCGAGAAAGAGAGATAGCTTCATTTTCAATGTTGATTGGCTTTATATATATATATATATATATATATATATATATATATATATATATATATATCGAGAGATCTGGTTGTCTGAAGTTAGTATAAGTTTATGTAGTACAGAAGAACAACGCAGAATATATAGTAGTCAAAAAATAAATTTGACCATGTCAATGTCATGATACGAGGTTTTTACCAATAGTCAAAACTTAGTAATAACACTTCGAAAATAGACATTTGTTTGCCCTATATTCTAGAAAAAGTGACGTGGCAACTCATTCTGTTCGTCTTCAAGGTAAAGCACACTTGATTGACATTCATCTTTTTCATTTATTCGTACCGTCTTTGTTTACGCTGGGATTTTTCTTCTTTTTAGTGATCACTTAAAGTACAATACCATTAGATAGTAAATCATTATTTAATATCCTAACCTATCAAATATAAATTCTCTTTCATAATTTTTGAATAAAGTTCACAAGTTAAACAAAACTTATCAGGTTAAACATAGACTGTGAATAAGAAATTTTAAAAAAAACGTGTTGTTTGAAAAGAAACTACAAAGCGATAAATAATCCACTCAGAAATCGCACAATTGTTTTTCAGTCAGCTATAAGTTCTCACGAGGTAAAATGTAGAAATTACTCAAATCAAATAATCTGATATTTCACCTTATTCAGTGATATATACATAGTATATTTGCAAAACGGTATCACAAACTATGCTTTGAAAGTAGTTTACAGTGTTTTTTAAATACAAACCAATTTCTGGTGACGAAAATAACACCATAAGTATGGACACATAAACGATACTGAGAAATTTTATCATAATAATAATTGCCAGATACTAATAATAGTGAAAATCGGAAAATTCACTAAGTTTGGTCAATTATCAGGGTCCCAAACAGTTTGAGTAAAATTTCCCATTCGGTCATGAAGTGTTAACGGCATGTTAGTGGTTTACTGATGTGGAAGTAGTGTATTGGGCACAAAACTTGGTTATGACAGACTAGTTGTTATTCAAACGAATGAATCTGTCAGCCGGCTGGAACTGTTATGTTCTATGACAAATGGGATTCATGTAGTAAATAAACAGTCGGTTTTTAGTATTCATTGGAAAAACACATTTTCATGAATTTCTTTACTTTACCACAGGAAAAACCATAGCATTTATTACACATATCACAAAGTATTCAAAAAGCATCAAGAACTAATACATTATTATGAAGGTATATAATTTACCTTTGTGTAGGAATTTCAAGACGGTAAGACTTGGAAATCAACTTTTTATCTGAACATTTAGCAGTCACAGTGTTTAGTAAATTTGTACAGGATGGAGAATTCAATAAGTAATTGTGAATACCTTCTGATACATCATTATTTAGGTCACAATGTCTACTACCATTATTTAATTGTTTTTCGAATTGTGGATCGAAATCATCAGTCTTTCTTGTTTCAGAAGAGTTGTGCTTCAATGCTGAAACAGATGAGCAGTTAAGGATAAAATTTCTTTGCAATGATTCATGTACATCTTGATTATCGAAAGGACTGAGTGTACGAGATTGAAATTCCATCGGTTGTTGTTTTCTGACATTAAAAATACGTGGAGCACGAGGTTCAGAAACTTTACCACCAAACACTAAGTATTTTCCATTTTCCTCGACGTTGCTAGTTTTTGTGTGTGATAAATTACTATTGTGCGCTCTAGTATTGGTTACTTGAGAAGTGGAACATGAGACATCTATTATGTAGAACAAACAATATGATAATGTATCAAAACACTCTTTAGAACATTAAACTTGGAAATTAGTAAATAAGTATAAAAAATGATAACACGATCTCTAAAAATGATTCAACGACTTTGATTACAGCAGAAATCTAAACTCCGGGAAGTCTGTGTTAGATGATAAAATGTGAAGCAACAACAGATCAATGACGATTAAAACCACGTAGATCTACTTAGTTTTATTTACACATTTTGTGTACTGATACATTATATCACCAGATTGCTTCTGAAAAAGTAGCATCGTTAAACTTGAATGACTCTCCTACCAGCTCCCCTCAAATACATATCTCATGATTTCACCCTCTAATTGATCGAAGAGCTTTTCGATTAAATACTTTTAACGGTAAATACGGATTTAATTTAGAAGTCCATTGAATATTTTTAAGCTCTTCTACAAAAGCACTTCAGACAAACTAAAGAACTACAATTGCCTCAGATCGTTCTTCCAAAATAGAAATGAGGTTGAGAAGAGTCGACTGACCTACATAGGTCTCTTTCATTTTCCGCCGAAAACACTTCGAAAAACGGCTGTAAGGTAGGTAGCTAGTTTTGGAAGTAGGTATAGATGTACGACTGGAAGAAAAAATATTAGGTGCTCAGACTACTCATCAACATAAGTAATTGCTTAGTAGCACATAGGCTAACCAAATCTCTTAGAATTCAATGCTTTTAGAGTAAGCAACACTCAACGTACAGTATAAAAGTCAACCGAATAATGGATATCCTTTGACTCGCTGAATCGAGAAGCAAATATACTGGTAAGTATAAGCGAATTCAGTCAAAAAACACGCATTCGAATGAAAACAAAAGTTTGTCAAACATCTTGTAATAATTTCGACGTACACCAAGCAACTAGTAAGACTAACGTTTTGATACCAAAACGTCAGCACAACAGCACACTATGAAATACGCTACAAAGAACGAAATGATGATATCATGAAGAAATGAAGAGAAGTAACAACAAGACAAAAAAGAAGTTTGGAGGAATACAGTACAAACAAAATACATTTCCTTCAGTTAAAAAAGCGCCTGCTATTTACGAAGGATATAACAAAAAAATCTAGAATAATCATCACTAATTTTCAATTTGATTTATGTCTCATAAAGCCGCAAGTTATTGGGTTGCAAAAGTTTTAGAACTAACTAAAAACTATCCTTTATTACATGAATTCTTGTCAAAAAATCAACACCTACTCGCAATTTATATCTACTACCAACGTCGGCGATTAGTGACCCGCCTAAAAGTTTTTGAAAATAAATGCACGAAATGTATGTAAGACACAAAGGCCTGTTTTAAAATAATATTATTCATTGGACAATTATCTCAGATATCTACAAACACACATCGGTAGACCTCGGCTAATAACAGTACAGACAGATTTCTGACAATCCTTTCGAGATACATAGTAATTTGATGATAAAAACTAAGTCATATACTTATGTAAGCTCATAGTCAGTTCATAGTATGTGATTTCGTTGAGCTTTGTGTGTATTATGTATTTATACATACGTAGCATTGTGCCAAATTTATTGTTAGTTCAACACCAAAAATTCAACAGAACAATTTTTTACATACACTTTCCCTTCGTATTTTATCATTAGCTTCAATGTCTACTGTTTGTAAGATTTTATCGTTTTAACTAACCTTAATATCCAGAAATGAATGAAATTCTAAATTGGGGGATAGCTTGTACGATTGATAAAATAACCGTTCTTACTCATCGCAAATAATTCAACTAGCATTATCATTACATGCTGAATTTAAGTAAAATCCACCTTATATATGGTTTTACGTACTTTTCCAAAACTAATTATACGTACCATTTTCTTTTACTACAGTACTTAAAATCAGGTCATAATCACTAGACGCTGGTAAATTTTGTCCTTTGTTATACGTTTTGGGGTCTGGATCACAGTTCTGAATAGGGGGATTTTTGGATTGCAGCTTTTTACTGGTAATCGCTGAGTTTGAAAAAATACGAATAGATCTAAATCCAAAACAACCAACAGATCGATGTAATCGCTTCTTCATCTACAAAGGAAACGCTTGGATGATAACCGCGAAAAAGTCATAGAAAATATTTCGAAATAAAATCAACCAGTTAATCATTCGTGATTTGAAACATCGATCATGAGAAAGCTTTATCTTTTACACATAAGCATCAATATAAACGAGGAATCCTAAAAGGGGTCTTCGACAGCCTGGAGCAAGGACATTGGTGGAATAAAATTCTCTGGAAAAAACGATTAAGTAATGTCTACGATGTGTTTGTTACGTAATTGATGGTGTGGGAGTGGTCAGAAATGTTTTATTTTATGAAGGGTCATTTACCAAGTATAGATATATGCCTTAGGCTTCGATACTACCCAATCCCCAAAGTTGGAGTAGATGGGACAGGGATCAGGCCCGTAACTTGGCGGCTGAGAGTTGAGGGTCTTGACCGCTGAGACACCAAATCTACGTGTGGAAAATAATCAAGACGAATCAAATTTGCAAGAGATGGAAACACTGAACACCCTAAACATCATGGTGGAGTTGATGTTCCATTGATATCCCACTTGGTTGAGCCAAGTTTGCTTACTCTACAGAGCTGTTGTTGATGTGACATCCCCAAATACAACACATAAAGAAGAAACTACCACTTTGTATTGAAATATTCAGCCGATTGTTCATGATTAGAAAATAACGAACACATTTTAATTCACAATAATGACTAATGTGGATGATTGTGGAAAACACTGAAGATAAACATAAGCGTTAACTGGATCAACGGTTCATATTTATCTAGATTTTCTAGGGTAATCCTCTCGAAGTTAATACATCTTCAACCACTAGCTCTGATTTGCCGCATTACATCGAATAAGAACCCATGTTAAGCTGCATTGATGTTGTTGCCAAAGATTAACGGTTATCAAATATCAGGCTTTATAACATTTTAGTTCAGTCTGCAGCAAAGTGTGATCTCGAAGTTCATGCACTTAGCAATGAATCTGGTTCTGGTCCCAAGACTTGACGATTTTCCGCATTGCAGTCTAGCAATAAGTTACCAAAAAAACTCTACAATCTATACGTTGGTGATGAAGTGCATGATCATTCAAAAACCACCGAAGCAGTAAATGTAATACAATAAGCTACTAAAATAGACGCCACAGTCGCAAGAAGCTCAAAAAAATCCAGAAAACGGAGCAATCTAATGAACAAACTAAATGAAATCTACAGGCATATTAGCAAACATCACCGCAGTACCCGCATCAACAAGATAGCCAACGTTAACGGTCATATTATCAATTTGCTCCTAAGGTATCTGCTAACCATTAAGATGCAGTTAAGAATAAATGGCTTAGATTCACTCGGTCGGTGTTTTATTCTCCGGGGGAAAGAACACCCGGAATCTAAATATCCAGTCACTAATCCAAACAAGGAAGACCAAAAACAAATTAGGATGAAAAGTGAAAACAAATCAGATCTAGGACCTCAAACAGGAAGTTGTGAAGGGTAAACAGAACCCAGCCCTGTACACCTTTCCTTCATACCACGACAAAATGTCATACACTAACCACTTCGCCGCATTTTCCAACCAGACCATGCATCGCCAAATAATGCACGACGTGGAATTCCCTGGGACGATATTCACAGTACATGTCCAGGCCCCCCAAATGCCCAAGTATGGCCGAGAGTGGGGTGAGTCCGCTCTCCCTCTCGAAATACTCTCACACGGCCACGCGTATATAGCCTCTGCCAGAAAAGTCCTACTCACTGCCTTCTCGCACCACGGGTGTTGCTCACAAAAATGAGAGGACGAAAAGCGAATGTCCGGCGCTATAACCGGATCCCAAATCAATGGTGCACACGGGCTCCAGTATCCTGTGGGAACAAATGGCGTATGAACCAATTTCTTGGTCACCGGCTTCTATGGGACTGCATCTTCTCACGATGCTCCACTGCCTTGTGGGTTAGACCTTTAGGTCAAAGGCTCGGGGTGTGGCCCCCTAAGAAAACTATCTGCTTCGGTCTGGGCACCCGGGCAGTATCACAGCCCACACACAAATAAAATTTTGTGTGGCGCATATATATTTGGTGCCCTCTTGTACCAATATTTATGTGTTCAAATAAATAAATAAAACACTAATGCAGATCGGACAACAGATAGGGCTGGCTGTGTCTTTGGAAAGTCTTAATATTGACGTTTGTTGTCTATCCGAGACCCGTATTCAAGACTCTGGTGAAGTACTAAAAATTCGTTTTCCATCTGTTTCTTCAAAAAGTTTGTTTTACGTGCGTCTATCCGGGGACCCTGTGGCATCTTCGTCTGGTCTTGCTGGCGCTAGTATCGCACTAAGTGCTAGAGTTGAGGCAGCACTAATCGATTGGATCCTTATTAACAGTCGGTTATATGCTGTTAGATTAGAAAGTGCCATCAAGTTGAGAAAAAATCGGCGTGAGAAACGATGTCTTTTCGTCGTCTCCGCCTATGCCCCGACAGATTACAGCCCGGATGCAATCAAGGATGAATTGTACCACCAGTTAACTGTTCTTTTTCAGAAAGTGCGTTCGACAGATATTGTAGTACTAGCTGGAGACTTGAATGCTCAGGTCGGGCGTCTAGGCACAGAAGAGAGTCGTTTAGGTGGCCGATGGGGACTTGTTGGTCGCAGGACAGATAACGGGGAACGTCTACTGCAACTATGCACAGACCACAACCTGTTTCTGGCTAGCACTTACTTCCGGCATAGTCATCGCCGATGTGCCACCTGGCGTCCTCCCTCTAAGTCTCAAACCTGGACCTCAGATTGATCAGATCGCGATTAGCTACCGCTGGCGTGGTTGTGCACAAGACTGCCGCTCCTTTTGGAGTACCTATCTGGAATCTGATCATGCCCTGGTCTGCGCCAATCTCACCTTACTTTTCAGTGGACAACGAAGTGACCGCCACCAAAGGATTGATGTTAGCAAGCTGGCTGCAACTTCTGTTGCTAGTATGTACCGAACCGAGCTAGCTTCTAGGCTATCTACCATCGCACCGAAAAGTGTAGATGAGCATTGGTTGCAATTGCATGACGCCATGAAAATGGCGGGTACAGTCTGTTGTGGGTTTGCGAAACGTCCCTCTTACAAGCATTGGGTTTCTTCTGGTTCCTTACAACTGATTGAAGCCCGTCGGTCTACTCCGGGTGACCGTGAGTTTGACCACAGACGAAGGGTGTTACGTAATGAAATTGGGCATAGCTTGCGTAAGGACCGAGAAGCCTGGTGGTCGGAGCGTGCTAATGAGCTGGAAGCAGCAGCTGCATCTGGTAATTACCGGAAGCTCTTCCAACTCATCCGAGCCACTGGCAGCAAGAAATCTGGTGTGAGTGAAACAATCTGCGAGGATGACGGGATGCCAATCACTAACATCCATCGAATTCTTGGACGATGGGCAGAATTCTTCGAAGGGCAGTCCAACTGGTCTGCTATTCCGACAACATCGATCAGACTGTCCTGCTCTCCATGGCCGGTGACGACTGATCCACCAAATGAAGCGGAAGTCCGCAAGGAACTCCAACTCTTGACACGCTACAAATCACAGGGCCCACACGACTTACCTCCGGCTCTGTTTAAAGATGGTGGTGACTTTCTGACTAAGGGACTGACGACGTTGTTTACAAAGGTCTGGGAACTAGAGAGTGTACCAACGTCATGAAATGAGTCGATAGTTGTCCCTATCAATAAAAAGGGTTAACGTCGTTCCAGTAACAACTATAGGCGGATAAGTCTACTTCCGATTGCGTCCAAGCTATTGGCTTCCGTCATACTTAGTAGGTTGTTCAAAACCCGAGTAAGATTGACTCGCGAGGAGCAGGCTGGGTTTCGTTCTGGTCGAGGATGTATTGATCATATCTTCACCCCCCGCCAAATGTTAGAACACCGCCATACTTATCAAAGGCCAACAATCGTAGTGTTTCTTGATTTCAGGGCTGCCTTCGATTCGTTGGACAGAACTGTTCTCTGGGATTGTCTATTGAAGAAGGGTGTGCCTGAGAAGTTTATTAACATCCTAAAAGCCCTATACACAAACACCTCAGGCAGAGTGAGGGCATACAATCACCTTTCTCCACTATTCCATTCGAGCAGTGGGGTTAGGCAGGGTTGCCCAATCTCACCATTCCTCTTCAACTTTGCCATCGATGACATTCTGGAAACAGCTCTGACGGATGTAAGTAATGGTGGTGTGAATCTGTTGCCTGGAGAAAGACTTCTCGACCTTGAGTATGCGGATGATATTGTCTTACTGTGCGAGAATGCCCAAGCTATGCAATCCGCACTTAATCAGTTGGCAATCAATGTCCGTAGGTATGGTATGTGCTTTGCACCTTCGAAGTGCAAAGTTCTTCTACAAGACTGGCAGGATTCCAATCCTGTACTCACTCTGGATGGTGAGCAGATAGAAGTAGTCGACAAGTTCGTGTATCTAGGTAGCTGCATAAGTGCTGGTGGTGGTGTGCGTGATGAGATCAATACACGTTTAGTGAAAGCCAGAGCGGCTTATGCCAATCTGGGCCATCTTTGGCGCCTTCGTGATGTTAGTCTGGCTGTAAAAGGTCGGATCTACAACGCGACGGTGAGAGCAGTTTTGCTCTATGCTTGTGAAACCTGGCCTCTCCGAGTTGAGGATGTTAGACGACTCTCTGTGTTCGATCATCGTTGTCTCCGAAGGATTGCTGGCATCCAGTGGCAACACCGTGTCAGTAATGCAGAGGTTCGGCATCGAGTGTTCGGTCACAGAGACGATAATGAAATTGGTGTCACCATCTTGAGACATCGACTTCGGTGGCTTGGACATGTTCTACGAATGTCGTCCCAGAGAATTCCTCATCGTGCATTATTTGCCGACTCTGGGACTGGTTGGAAAAAAGCGGAGGTGGTCAGTGCATGACATGGTGTCGTGGTATGAAAGAAAGCTGCAGAAGGCTGGCTTATGTTGGTCCTTCACAACTCCCTGGCTGGGGTCCGAGAGATGGTGTAACACAGGGGCTAGAGACGTTATCAGA